CAGGAGATGCATGAGAGGCAACCATACACTGATATTTCTCTCCCTCACTCCTCCCCGACTCCTCTAAAGATAAATCAATAAAATCTTTGAAAAAACTACATACATTCAGAGCTTTTCTCCTGTTTTATAGTTTAAGAAACTGAAAAGGGCAATTTATCCTCAGTGACCAACAACAGCCCTTCTGCTCTTGTGCTTTCTCCCCGAGCCCAGCCCCACTGGCACCTCTAACTGTAACCCCGCCCCCATGAACCGATGCACACATTGCTGTCAGGAGGCTCAGGGTCCAGTGCTACAGTCCATAGCATCCTAAGTCAGAGCATGTTACTAGGGTCTTAGTACACTACTTAGTGCCGCAATACACGACTGTTTTTTGCTTTTTAAAAGTGAGAGAAACACTTAATATAAATGAATTGTTTCAATACGACAGCACCAGGCACTTCGGCGCTTGTGTGAGAAATAATACTGGGACCCTCAAAATCACACTTGGTGAGACTCCACCCTCTTCTGGTGAATAGCGGAGGCCTTTGTGCCCTAAGTCAGAACATGAGTCAAGAGTGAAACTAGAAAATAAACGTACCGTATTTTTGGACTATAAGACGCAAATTTACCCCCCAAATTTGGGAGGAATAATGGTTGTTAATGCTGCTGTTGAGTTCTGTTTATATTTACATTGGTAAAATATTATGTTATTTATGTTATTAAATATTTTACCATATTTTTTGCTTCAATTTTTTTTCTGTTTTCCTCCTCCAAAACCTAGGTGTGTCTTATGGTCTGGTGTGTCTTACAGTCCAAAAACTTGGTAAGACCTCCACCTGTTTATCCTGAGATTTTGTCCTCAGACTCACATGACAATTAGTGATGGGAAAAGCAGATGGAATTGTGGGACTATAGTAAAGCAGAAGAAATTCTAAGACTTTTCAATGATTCCATGCTCAAGTTGCACCTCTGGATAAAGAACTGGTACTCCAGACTGTCAGCAGCAGTTTTTTCAGTTTTATTGAGAAATAATGGACACACATCACTATGTAATGGCTTCACTTACATATATTGTGAAAGGACTACCATGATAAATTGTTAGCATTCATCATTGCATATAGCTGCAATTAAAAAACTAAAACATTATCCCTGTGATGAGAACTCTCAGGATCCAGCTCTGAACAACTTCCTTGCACCTCAGGAAGCGGCGTGAACTACAGTCATCCTGTCGCACATCCCATCCCTAGTGATCATCTTACACATGGATCACACTTTTTGACCTCCTTCCTCCAATTCCTTCTCCCCCTTCCCACGCCTCTGGTAACCACAAATCAGGTGTCTTTTTCCATGAGTTGGGTATTTTTTAAAATAAGCTTCCACATATAAGTTAAATCATGCAGAATTTGTCTTTGTCTGACTTATTTCACTTAGCATGTGCCTTCAAAGTCCATCCATATTGTTACAAATGGGAAACTTTTCTCATTTCTTTAATGGAAGGATAGAAATAATATTCCATTGTATATATTCCATTGTATATATACCGCAGTTTCTTTATACATTTATTCATCAATAGACACTTACATTGTTTCTACAGCTGGGCTGTTGTAAATAATGAGGCTATGAGCATGGGAGTGCATGTATCTTTTCAAGTTAGCGATTTTGTTTCTTGTGGGTATATTCCCAGAGGTAGAATTGCTGGATCCTATGGTAGTTCCAGTTTTAATTTTTTGAGGAACCTCCATAGGGTCTTCCACAGTGGCTGTACCAATTTACAATCCCACAAACAGGGTCGCACAAGGGTTCCCTTTTCTCCACATCTACCCAGCATTTGTTATCTCTGTCATTTTGATGATAGCCATTCTAAAAGGTGAAATCTCATCATGGCATTACAATCTGGGGGATACCTCATTGTAGTTTTAATTTGCATTTCCTTAATGATGAGTGACGTCGATCATCTTTTAATGTACTTGTTGGTTTCCATAGCTCTTCTTTGGAAAAATGTCTACTTAGGTCCTTTGCCCATTTTAATTGAATTATTTGGGGCTTTTGATATTGAGTTGTATGAGTTATTAATAGATTTTGGATGTTAACCACACGAGATAAATGTTTTGCAAATATTTTCTCCCATTCCATAGATTGTCTTTCACTTTGTTGATGGTTTCTTTTATTGTACAAAAGCTTTTTAAGTTTGATATTGCCTCATTTTTATTTTATTTTGTTGCTGGTGCTTTAGGTGTGATTTCTGAAAAATTATTACCAATACCCCTGTCAAGAAGCTTTTTTCCTGTTTTCTTCTATGAGTTTCATGGTTTCAGGTCTTACATTTAAGTTTTTTATGCATTTCGAGTTAATTTTTGTGAGTAGTGTAAGATAGTTTCATTCTTTTACATGTGAATATCCAGTTTTCCCAGCATTATTTATTAAAAATACTGTCTTTTCTTTGGTGAGTATTCTTAGCTTCTTTGTGAAATATTAGTTTATTGTATATGCTTGGGTTTATTTCTGGGATCCTGATTGTGTTTCATTGGTCTATTTGTCTGTTTTTCTGCCTTTTCCATACTATTTTAATTACTTTATCTCTGTAGAATAGTTTATAATAAGGAAGCTTGAGGCCTCCAGGTTTGTTCTTTCTCAGGATTTTTTTAGCTATTTGGAGTCTTTTCTGGTTACATATAAATTTTAGTAGTGTTTTTTTCTATTTCTGTAAAAAAGTCATTGGAATCTTGATACAGATTTTATTCAACCTAAAGATGCTTTAATTAGTATTGGCATTTTAACAATATTAATTCTCCTAATCCATGAACCCAGGATACTTTTCCATTTATTTGTGTCTGTTTCCATTCCTTTCATCAATGTCTTATCATTTTCAGAATAAAGATCTTTCACTTCCTGGGTTAAATTTAAAATTTATCAATTTTGATGCTATTGCAAATGGGATTGATTTCTTTATTTCTTTTCAGACAATTTATTGTTAGTTTATAAAAATGCTACTGTAAAATGAGTTTCAGAGTATTCCTCTTTGATTTTGGGGGGGAGAGTTTGAAAAGTATTGATAAGTTTTGAGATGAAATTGAGAAAGATTTTTGGGAAGAGTTTGAAAAGACAGCATATTCTGACACAACATTTAAAATGTAGCATAAAAATGTTCACTCACATACTCATTACCATAAATCAGGCTATGCTATTTGAACATAGGAGTTAAAAATAAAGGTCCTTCTCAAGCATTAAATGCTGAAGAAAAGGGCAAGAATTAAGCCCCAGAGGAGCTGGGGCAGGAGGGCAGAAGGGAGGGGAAATTTACTATGCATCTCTGAGGCAAATTGCTGAAGAAATTTAGTTATCATGGTTTTATGAGAAGAACTAATTAAATTAATTTGGAAACCTAAAATTAGGAGAAATCAAACAGATCTACAAATCTTAGTAAAGTAACATACATAATAAATGGATGCTTCAGGGCTCCGTGCTATCTCTTTGGTAGGAAAATGCTTTTTATGGCAGGGTATAATTTCAGCACAAAATGAATTGAGAGGATGCATGGCTTAAGAAACTTCACAGGGTGCACACAGACTTTTATTCTTGGATTGTTCATTTACATGGACTTCAAATCTTTATTTGCTGCTGGTGATTAGGCCACCAACTAGCCAACCATGGAATGTTAGGAAATAGTGGTTGTATTTGGGAGTTGTGGGGGAAGGATGGATCATAAAAACCTTTATTGTCTGTGAGCAGGCAGAAGCAAATCTGAGTGATTGGAGTCACCAAGCTGGATACAAAAGTTAGCTGGTTGCTAAAGCATAGCTGTCATAGCTCTTCATTCTTCTGCTGAAGAATCCAGGTGAAAAGGAAAAATCTTAACAAAGAAAGGGTCCCCTTGGACAGTGGGACAAGGGCAGTGGGGGCTCTGTGCAAAGGAAACACTGAATTCCAATGTTATAAGGCACCTGATTACGTTAGACCCCTTCACTATCATTTTCTACGAATAAGTACTTTAGAAGCCCACTTTAGGCTGTGCTGATGGTAGATTTTTTTTGTATCGAGTGCTTTGCTCCTAGTGGCATTGTGACATGGTGTGGGGTTTATTGTCACATATACCTCTCCAGACTATGTGCTTTAATTCATGAGATCTAGAGTGCTTCTTTAATATTAATCATACCTGTCCTCGCATTCATTTATTCATTCATTCCTGTCTTCATTCCCTCAATTATTCTTCCATTCTTTCATTCCACAACATTACATATCAGCAGGCACTTTAAGTACCTGGTTTCAGTAAAATGAAAAATAAAAAAAAACAGACAAGGTCCCTGTCCCCAGAAAGCTCATTTCACAGACAAAAATATTCATGCATAATTATAAGACAATGGGACCCATTATAATTTCATACAAATGTAGTGGGCCTCTTTCCCTCCTCTCCTCTCTCTCACCATATGTATATTTAAATATTCATAGCATTCTATGATTAAAAAAGAGTACTCAAGTTGACATAATTGAAGTAGCATACAGGAACTGACACCATCACTTACTAGCCTTGTGACCTTGAGAGTCTGGTGGAATTTAGCCTCTCAGTCACTTCACCTCTCAGAGCTCCAGTTTCCTCATGATCACTAACACTTATTGGTGGTTTAATAGGAACAAGGCACCATTGTGTGTATTGCATGTATGAATTATACAGTCTTCACAAGGAATTTATCAAGATGTTGCTAATATCCTTATTTTACATATCATACAACTGTGGTACAGATGGGCTAAATGATTGGTACAGATGGGCTAAATAATTCACCAAAGATCGGGCAGTGTAACCAGCTTTCAACACCGGCTGCAGTATCTAGGCTCTTAGCACTCTCTAAAGCATCTTCAAACAGAGGGCTAACAGTGAGGTTAAACTTAGAGAATTAACAGGGAACCTGTTTGGAAAAGCTTGAGCATACAAGAGTAAAAATTGTAATGTGAAAAAAGCTTTTAAATGCACAACTGGGTTGGAGGAAATCAGGTAACAGCTGTGGTGTCCTGCTGTGTTCACTTACACGCTTCCTCGGATGCTTCCTTGGACGAGAGGACCGTGGCTTCCTTTCCTCACTCTCAGCCTCCGTGGGTTGGGTAGGAATGGCTCTGCTCCCTCCTCCAAGGATGAGGAAACTGGTTGAACACCTGTTCTGGACCAAAAGTAAAGTCAAGAGGGAACTAAAGTTAAGTCCCTGCATACTCTGTGAACTCCAAAGTCTTGAAGATGGCTCACCATGGAAGACACTGTGATCGGGAACCTTTGCTTTTCCTCCAGAAGTCTGTCATGAACCAGTTGCCAGACCTCAATTTCCTCATCTATACTATCCCCCAAGTTTCTTTTTTTTATCAATGGCCAGGAGTCATCAAAATCTTAGATCTGTATAAGGCTCTTTACCTATAGGGCGTGTTTAAAAACAAGGAGCACATCAACATACTCGCCTTTAGGCAAGCAAGCTTTGCTCTCACCATCTTCAGGCATGAAGGAAGGAAAGGCAGGATTTGCATCTAGAGGGCATGGTCCACAATCTCACCAATCTCACATCCCTCTGAAACTGAGAGAGAGAGAATTTCCAATACTCGTCCAATGAACGAAGCCATTTTGCTGATGGCCATGGAGTTGTAAAAGCCAGGTCTCTGAAGCTACCTCAAGAGAATACTGAAAGACACCTTCTATTCTGAAGCTTAGTGGATGTGTCCTGGCTCTCAGCATGGGCTGGAGAGCATAGATGCTATTCTGCCATGCAGTTTAGTTAAGTTGACACCCACACTTACACATCATAATGGAACTGATAACCATTTTAGCCTGCAGATTTCTACTAATTTAATGTCTAAAGAAAGCACCATGCCCGTGGTGCTTCGAGCCAGCTAAGCCAGACTGGATTTTCCACATTTATATACCTATGATTCAACTACCACTACCCTGCTATTTACAAGGTTTAAGGACAACAGCAGGGTTAAATGTGTAGAACCTGCTAAAAGGGTACCATTGACTCTGGGAACAACCAGTGGACCAAGGGTACTTGTTCCTCGAAGTGATGGTGTCCCCGGCTGGGGCATGAAGAGCCAGCCCCTTGGCAGACTTAGAGGCTGAAAACAGTGAAGCTGGAGATATAGCTATAGATCTGTTTTCTTTTTTTTCTTTTGAACCTGTAAGATTCCCAAAATATCCTAGTCATCTGATCAAAGCAGCATTTCTCTAACTCCATTTACTAGAATGTTCAAAAGTATGACTTCAAAGATTTCAGACACATTTTCCTATATTGTATAGCTACTAGCCATTAGAGTAACTATTACAAAACCTTTTTATATTCCCCCCATTATTTAGGTGAATTGTTCTAAATAAGTTCTTAACCAAGGTTCTGTCTTTGGTCAGACGAGGCCTTCTCCGGTCCCAGCCCCCACGGAACATCTGGAGGCAACCTGAATATTCTCGGAGCTGACAGCCAGCCTTTTCCCAAACCGCCACCGTCTGGCCATCGGCTGTGCACTTCTGAGAACCCACACAGGCGAATGCCAGTCTTCTCCCTGCAAGGCTGTGAGTGTACCATTTCTCTAGGATTCTAGCCCAGTGACTCAAGGGAATCTAAATTTGTCTTTCCCCCAGTACTCTCATTCTCCTAACTTTTGAAATAATTCTTCACATCCATCAACAAAAACAATAAAATTTCCTTTTAATTAGAGGAACTATTTTTATGTCTTGCCACCACATTAAAATGAAATATATTTTCCATGTGATTTGCTATGTCATGTCATGGAAATATAAATACATTCTGCTAAGAATTATGACATATACTTGGGAAGCAGTTAATTTCAGCTGTCTCTTTAAAAATAAGATCTGACAATATTACTTAAATCTGACACTTTATTTTCTTTACTTATTTCTAAAGAATCTGCCTGCTGGGGAGAGGCGGGTAATGGAAAAAAATACAGTAGAGATTGCATTATAAAGTAATATGCCTGCTAAAAACATTTCTTTTGCAGATTTTTAAAATTATTTTTTAAATTGCACATGGAAAGTAAAATGTTAGTTCTAGCATCTCCTTGTTAATTCAGCAACTACTTTTTCCTAAGTAACAATATTTGGCTTCCTTAATCAATTAGTTATTTTGAAACACATTTTTCAGTGCTTACCTTAGGTCACCTTCAAAAATACAGAGAAGCCCAAGATATAGAAATGCTTTGGAGGTTGCAGGCTGGTTGTGGGACTGACAGGAAGACAAGTAACTTCCATTTCAGCTCAAAAAGCAGAACTAGAGATACAAAAGCCTTTCACAGAGCAGCATTGATTTTTCAACCATTCTGGGTTTTTGAAGATAGCGTTGGGTGATTCTGAGTTCAAGTTTAAGTTATCAAAATGAGGGCTTTCATCAATAGGTAGATAAAGAGATAAACAAAAATTTAAAACTCATCTTCCCTCATCATTTTTTTTCTCAAAATTTGTTTTGTTTCTCTTTAATTCCAGTGGATTTTTATCTAGGTAGTGGTTCTTCACCTTTTGGAGCAGTAAATGTGCATATTTGTCAGAATTAGAACCACAGAGGGAGATTTTTTCAACCTTCATGTGATCTCTGCCTTTCAATGCTCAGGAACTTGAGTGCAGAGGGCTTGTGAAAGCGAAGACAGACGAGCTTACTCCCAGAGTCTCCGATTGAGCAAGTTTGGGGTGGGGCCTGAGAACATGCATTCCTAAGTTGTTCTTTGGGTGATGCTGACGCTGCTGGTCTGGGGAACCAGCTTTAGGAAACCCTGTTCTTTCCCATCAGACTATCAAGGATGAAGTTGCACTTCCTGCAGTCTCTCAGACAAGGGTGCTCTGCCCTTTTTTTAAACCACTGATCGACTGAATTTTTCCCACCAACCTCGCCAGAGTCTTTCCCACACATTTGTTGTTCAAGCTCTTCACACACTTAGAGATATTTATACTCCTTTTTTAATGGCACCAGATTCTACAGATGCAAAGCTATAAACTGACCTTGATTTTTTACCCTATTGGTGATTTCCCTGTCTCTCTAATTATAAAATAAGATCTGTGGAGTTATTCATTTACATGTCTATCAGGGATTTACAAGGAGAAATGTATAAAAATGACACTAACACTACTAGAGAAGTTGACATGTGCCTGCCGCTGTTCTAAGAGCTTCATATACATTACCTCATTTCATCTTCTCAACACCTCAAAGAAGTAGGCATTATTATTATCCCTACTATCCCCATTCTTTTTAAAATTGATTTTAGAGAGAGATTAAGAAAGAGAAATGTCGGTTTGTTGTTCCGCTTATTTTTGCCTTGATTGGTTGACTCTTATATGTGCCCTGACTGGGGATAGAACCCCAAACCTCCGTGAATGGGGACAACACTCTAACCAACTGAGCTACCAGGCTAGAGCCTATATTATCTCTATTTGGGTTTTTTTGTTTGTTTGTTTGTTTGCTTGTTTTTTTGGAGGGCGCCTGATGACTGTGTAGATTCATCACTCTGCGATTTTTTAAAAGGTTATATTTATTTATTTTTAGAGAGAGAGGGAGGGAGAAGGAGAGGGAGAGGAAGGTCAGTGTGTGGTTGCCTCTCACATGCCCCCCACCCCGGATGGGGACCTGGCCTGCAACCCAGGCATGTGCCCTGGCTGGGGATCTAACTAGCAATGCTTGGGTTCTCAGGCCAACACTCAGCCCCCTGAGCCACACCAGCCAGGGCAGTTATCCCTATACTTGAAAGATAGAAACCGAGGCCCATTGAGGTTCAGCAGCTCGCTCCAGTTGGTACAGCCGGGGAGCGATGGAGCCCAGGCGGTCCAGCTTCAGACCCGTGCACCTGATCACTCTCTATCCAGCTGCCATATGAAAAAGTAAAGGCTGTTAGTGCATCTATTAGTAATTCTTTTTTAAAATGTTAAAACCTTTCTTAATTCCCTCAGGATTTCCCACAAGCATGTCATGTATATAACCTAAATTTAACAGTATCACCATTAAGGAAGAAGTAACTCGTATATTCCTAAATCTCCTCTTACTGACCCTCCTCTTCACCATTGTAAATGAAAAGGCCTTCACTTCACAGTTTATCATCTGATAGACCCATTAGTGAGTAGTGGAAAGATAAGCTTTTCATGAATTTGAAAAAGCAAAAAGAAAGAAAAAACTCCTGATACCCTGTAAGAGAGGTTATCAAAACGTGGTCATGAGGGTTGACTAGAACATGCAGAGGACTTCGCTATGATACTGTTCATACATGACCCAAAGTCAGATTAAGTTTCTTTTCTCCTGTTTTTCTGTTTAAATAAGAAGATTGGGAAGAACAGCAGTAGAAGGTTGCTATTTGTGAATTTCCTTTCAAGATATCCAAGGAAAAAAGCATCATATAGATCAGTTTCTAAGGGAAATATTCTATAATTTAATTTAGGGTGAAATTAAACTGTGGGTCACCTCAGGTTCTAGTACTAAAACTAATTCCTTTTCTCTCCCTCCCTCCCATCCCTGGTATCTTTTTTTAAATAAAGATTTTATTTATTTACTTTTAGAGATAAGGGAAGGGAGGGAGAACGAGAGGAGAGAAACATCAGTGTGTGGGAGATACATCAGTCGGATGCCTCCCACACACCCCCAGCTGGGGACCTGGTCCACAACCCAGGCATGTTCCCTAACTGGGAGTCGAACCGGCGAACTTTCGGTTCACAGGCTGGCACTCAATCCACTGAGCTGCACCCTCTAGGTCCCATCCCGGGTGTCCTGAAGGTTCAACCTACAGGGCCTTGTTTTAACTTCAACCAGGTGGCACTAAGTCCTCGAAACATTTTAACAAACGAGATTCCCTTGGTTCACTTGTCCCAAAGTATGCTGTTCTGAAGTGTTAGTGTCTCAGCTTTATTTTGATCTTCAGACTAGAAAGATTTGATTAAAATTAATAGAATTTAACATTTTAAAAGATATTCTTTTAAAACCCACGAGGTTTCCTGAGGAAAAAACAGTTGTGGTTTTTAATACTTAGCATTTCGAGTTAATCAGATTATAATATCTTGAAGTTTAAAGACAAAACACAAGTTGAATTAACAAAACCATAAGTACTATGCTTATGTGTCAAATAAAAAGCCAGAACTCTGCTTTGCCTATTGCAGGCCACCTGGCCTATGGCAAATAACAACTCCTCAGTCCGTCAACCTCCATATCAGACAAAGAGCAGGTGACTAAATGCGTAGAACATTACAGTCGGAAGGGCCAGAATAAGGATCTAATCATTCCCACCTGCGGTTCCTGGGCCAGTGAAGCTAATGATGCTTTTCAAAGGAGGATAGACAACGAGCTATTTTCCTTACAGGAGCTCCTCCAGAGACTGCTGTCGGGAACACCACGTAACAAAGCGACAAAGGGAAAGTAGTTGTACTATGAAAAAAACACATACATTAACAACTTACAAAAACAGAGTCCTGCTCTACTCCAGTGCTAGCCCTAGATCCAGCGTCAGCTTCAATATCGTTGTTCTCTTTGGTGGTTACTACAGGGTCATGCCCTTTCAACAACTTAATGCAAATGCAACGCGGAATCAACTCCAAACCTAAGTCAAAGATCCAGACAAGGATGATGGATCAGCAAAAAGAGAACAATTTAAATATCAAAGGATTAAGGAGGTCTTTGGGCTTCCACTATTTTGAACCTCCCTGCCCACCCCACAAAAAAAGGACCCTTTTTGCAAGTTTGCAGAAAAAGTTGAGTGTGAAATGAAGGCTTCTTGAAAAAAAAAATGACACCCAAATGAAACAAACAGCATTTTTATCACTCCCTTTATTATTCTGATACCCTTAGGTTCAGATATACCTTTAGCTACAAGTATAATGGAAATAGAATAAACTTATTTTCTTAACTTTAAACTTCAGCATTCAAGGCAGTGTGACCTCTCTTGCTTTCAACAGCCCTTTTCTGGAACCAATTATCCTCCTATAACAGGCACCGCCTATATTTTACAATGTCTGATAGAAATAATAAATTTTACCACAGTCAATCTGAACAGGTTAACCGAAATATCATATTTCTTTGGCTTTGGCTGAAACCGTATGCACCCAGCGTGGTAATGCTGCATACTTTGTGCTTATCAGAAGCAGCGATGAACATGTTTCATTAATAAAATCTGAAAAAGTATTTATTCTTCATTAGATGCAATTTGGTTAGCAAAATTTCCAAACATAGGGCCCATGGGGAGTGAGTGAATAATAAAGGTGGTCTTTAATATGAATAGATTGGGATTCATCAACATACACCAAACCTTAAATTTTGCAAGAGCATAAACTGTGGCCAAATGAGGCTGCATCTTGCCCAAATCCCTCCAACTGAATTTTTATTTGCCTGATGAATCTATGGTACATTTCTAATATATTTCAAGGCTTAATACATCTCAGTGGTGATAAATATATTCGGACTTAATTCCCTGTGGTTCAACTAAATTCCATGTTCTCTGTAAATGTTCCATTCCCTCATACCTTAAATAAGTGGCTGATTAATTAAAACAATACCGAGATTTGTGTTATAATGGGCTGATGTTTAGGCTTGGTTACCTTAGTTCAATAATCTCTCCCTAGTAAAACATATTTATAAAAACATTTGTAACTTATGCATTAAATCCTTTTCATAGAACATGTGGCTTTAAATAATGAGGGAACAATTTGGCAAAAGCATTTTGTGTTCTGCCAAACCCTCAACAAAATGGCTTATGAAATTTAACGAAGGCTAAAGCACTGGTTCCTGCTTCTTTTCCTCTGAATTCTTTGTTCTCTTGAAGACAAAGCTTTTTTTAATTTATAATATTTCAAGGCAACTCTTTGCTGTTTTCCCTTTTTTTTTCTAGAAAGGTAAAAGAATGTTAATTGAAAACTAAGAAACAAAATATTGATTTATATGATCTCATGTTTAGTATTATTAAAATATACTCAAAATTATATAAATAATAACATTATTATTTTTTTCTATGAATCATCATAACATTCCCACATAAAACTAAAGATTGAAATTAAAGAAGAAATCCATTAAAATGCTATTCTGGCTGACCTAAGCCACTTTGATCATATATACCTCTTGAAGTCTATCTGACCCCAAAAGAGCTTGGGTAGGAAAAGGTTAGCTCCTCCCCAACAAACTGGCTACCACCTTGTAATGAAAATAAATCTCAGATCTACTTTTGTCTCACATATAGACATTTATTTAACAAACTTTTTTAACAAGCAGTTTCAAAAATAGCTCTTATAACCAACAGAAGACATGCCAGCCCTCTGTTCTTTAGGCATTCTGCATGGAAGTTTGTGTGGGAGAGAGAAAACAGTAACTCACAGGCAGGATTCTCTCCTTTCCAGTCTGCCCTGGACAGCCAGTCAGTCACAGAAGCAGTGAATGGACACAGCATTCTATGCATCCACGTTCCGGTTCCCTCCCTACTGGCACGAGTTGCGGGATTGGCCAGATTCACCCCAATGTAGAAAGTGTTTTTAAAAGACCTTGGGGATTGATGAACACTTTTAATGTTACCAGTGACGGCCCATTTCTAACACTCATCATGCCAAAAATAACCCAGGAGTTTCC